ACTTCTGTAACTCTACGCTTTCTGATGGCTGTATTTAAAATTTTTCTTTGTCACATATTATACTCTGAAAAATCCTTCTTACAACTTAGAGCACATATGTGACTTTCTTTAGGCCTTTCTACCAAAAAAGAATTGCTCTGTGAAAGGCTATTTTAAAATATTTTTTCTTTTTGTTTTTCTCTCTTTTTTGCTTTTCCCCCTTTTGATAGTACTGGGGATTGAACCCAGTGAGCACTGAGCTACATCCCAGGCTTTTTCTTTCTTTTTTTTCAAATTTTTAGACAGAGTCTCACCAAGTTGCCTAGACTGACCTGAAAATGTGATCCTCCTGCCTCAACCTCCCAAGCAGCTGTGATTATAGGCATGCACTGCCACACCATGCCATGCACAGCTTCCATGTTAACGTTTTTAACAGCACATTCAAATTTTAATGATTTTTTTTGTTTGTTTTTGTTTTTTGAGACAGGGTCTCACTGTGTGGTTCATACTGGCCTTGAACTCCCTGTGTAGCCTCGGCTGGTCTCAAACTCCAGGGATCCTCCTTGCCTCAGCCTCCTGAGTGCTGGGATTACAGAGTGCTGGAATTACAGGCATGCACCACCATGCCCAGCTTAATGATGTTTTAATGATACCATTTTTTAATGATAAAGAGGATAGCATATGCAAGTGATTGTTTTTCTCACATCTTTTTTTAACATTGACTGTCTTTAGAGACTTAAGTGAAACGCAGTATCTTTTATTTATTTTTTAATTTTTTTGAGACAGGGTCTTTCTATGCAGTTCAGACTGGCCTTGAACTCACTATGTAGCCCAGGCTGGCCTAAAATTCACAGTAATCCTCCTGCCTCAACCTCCAGAGTGCTAGGATTCTTTTATTTTTTGAGATAAAGAGTCTTCCTATGTTATCCAGGCTGGCCCTGCTCAAACAGTGCTCTAGTCTCACCCCCAGGTAGGCTTTGTCTTATCTCCCTGTCTTTCTCTTTCTCTCTCTCTCTTTTTTCTTTTGGTGGCACTGAGGATGTAACCCAAGGCCTTATACATGTAGGCAAGTGTTCTATATCACTGAGCCACATCCCCAACACTGTCTTATTTTTTCATTTGGGTTTTCTTCATTACTGTTGGATATCTTTTCTTATAAATATCTTTTGTATATCTTTTTTTATTACCCTCTTTAGGTATCTTCCCCCCTCCCTTTTTGGTATTGAATTGTTTGCCTAAATGATTTGTAATAGTTGTTAAACTTCATATTGATCCTTGAGAAATTTTTTTCAGAAAGTCGTTTAAAAGCCTTCATCCTTCTAGTACTTTTCTAGTACTCATTTCTTTTTCACTTTAAATCTTTAGTCCATCTGTAATTTATTTTTATGTGAAGTGCTTTCATAGTTGTATAGTTACCTTTTGTGATACTAGCTTTCATCATTCAAAATGCGGTTATTAAAATTCTACACCTGAAAGCAAGCCGTATTTTTCTTTGACAGATTAACTCTATTTGTATAGTTAAATCTGTTTGCAAGGTGTCAAGATGATGTGAAAGTCAGAAAAATTACAATTAAGTTACCTCTGAAAAACAAGATTGTAGTGCATTTTGAACATTTTTCTTATAAATTCTTCTATTATGGAAGAAGTCAACATCTGTGAAAATAGAAGAGAGTACAGTGAACCCTGCATACCTGCCACCCAGTTTCAGTACTGATGCTGAGTTTGTTTCATCTCTGTGCTGACTTCATTCCCTTCCTTGTGGTTTGTTTTTGCTGTACTGGAGGTTGAATCCAGGGCTTTGCACTGAGCTACATCTCACATCCCTTTTTATTTTTTATTTTGAGATAGGGTCTCCCTAAGTTGTCCGGTCAAGACTTGAACTTGTGATCCTCCTGCCTCACTCCCCCTCCCAAGTGCTGTGATTACAGGTGTGCAGCACCACACCTGGCTGCCTTGTGTTATTTTGATGCAAATCCCAGACCTCACATTGTTTCTTCTATAAATATTTTGCTATGTTTCTTTAGAAGATAGAATGTGTGTGTGTTTGTATTACTGGGAATTGACTGCAGGGGCTTGCACATGCTAAGTAAGTGCTCTAGTACTGAGTTACATTCTTAGCCAGAGACCTTTTTTAAAAGATAATTTCAATGCCATGATTTTATGTAGAAGTGGCAGTAGTTCTTTATCATAATCCGGTCAGTATTACAATTTGTGTATAATTTTATTTCTTTGGGCGGTTCAAATGACAACTGTCATATTGCTAGTTTATTTACTCTCATAGCATGAAAACTTGTAAAATGAGAATGACAGTCTTCATAGTTGTTGAATTTGTATATGGTAGTGTTTAATATTTTGCTTCTATTTTTACCAGATTTATAAATGCATGTAGGTTAGAGTCAGTTGGTTTTGCATGATTTCTTAAAAACTATACATGACACCATGTGTTTGATCCTTTATTTTGAAATGATTTTATATTTTGTAGAAATTATACCTTTCACTTAGCTTTCCCCAGTGATAGCCTCTAACAATTTAAATAGTGTATTTAAATCAGGATCTAAATTCAGTTTATATATTACAGTTGATATGTATTTCAAGTTCTTTTTTTTCTTTTTCTTTTTTTTTTTTGGTGCTAGGGACTGGAGATTAAACCCAGGGCCTCACACAGGCTAAGCACACCCTTCACACCCTTAACTTCTGAGCAATACTGCCAACCTTAAGTCTTTATTTATTTTTTTTTTTTGCATTCAACTCGGGACCTTGCACTTGTGAGGCAGGCGGCAGCACCACTGAGTTAAATCCCCAGCCCTAAGTCTTTATTTTTAGTATCTGGTTCCTTCTCCACTTTTTTCTCTTGTAATTTATTTGTAAAATAAGATAAATTAAGTTTTAAAAAATGAATTCATGTTTTTCTGTATATGTTTCATTCAGCTTTTTTTTTTTAGCTGTGCTCTTTTAAAATTTTGTTATCTCTAAAATGTGAATTTTACATGAATAGTTCTGTAGCACAGTAGAGAAAGAAACCAAGATTAGAAAATCAGACTTTGAGTCCTCTTTATACAATATTCACCATTTATTAAATAATACTCATCAAAATAAGACAGTGTCTGAGAAATCTTTCTTAGGACCAGATAAGATTATTAAATATTTGTTGCTCAGGATTATGAATTGTTCTGGGTAGCTAGCTATTCAGAAGAGGGCTTGTGTCCTCATTGCTTATAATAAAGGAAACAGAGATGTTAGTGAATAATTATAATCTGATCGGTGAAGCAATAAAATATTTTCAAGGTTCAGTGGAATATGATGATGGGAATGACTGACATTTTGGATACCAAAGAATGTTTTCTGAGAGACAGATGGAGTTGAGTTAAAAGGAGTAAGTAGAAGGCTGGGGATTTAGCTCAGTGGTTTCGACACCTGCTGCACAAGCACAAGGTCCCGAGTTCAATCCCTGATACCAAAAAAAAAAAAAAAAAGGGAGTAAGTAGGGATTCACTGACATAAAGTCTTTCAGAAGTCAAGTGGCTAACAAGAATAGTCTTACTTAAGCAGGTGCAATGAGAATGGATAAGCTATTAAAGGAGTAATGCCTAGAAGACACGCTGGAGCAAGTGATGGACCAAGGTGTTATGTATGAGCATTTAGTAAACTGGAAAGCTATCTTTTAGTTATTTCCTTGGGAATAGTTTATGCAGAAGTATATATTGTAAAGTATTTGTGATAATCTTCAGTTTATAGATACAATACTTAAACTTTTTTTTGTTTCTTTGTTTGTTTTGGTACAGAGGATACAACTCAGGACCTTGTGCTTGCGAGGCAGGCTGCGGCACTACTGAGCTAAATCCTCAGCATTATTTATGTTTTAATTTGGCTGCTGCTTTTTTTTTTGTACTAGGGATCGAACTTGGTACCTTGTGCTTGCGAGGCAGGAGGCAGCACCACTGAGCTAAATCCCCGGCCTTATGTTTTAACATGGAAGTATGTTTATCTTAAAATTAGCTTTACAGTTTTTTATCAGAATTATAAACACATCCAGTTGAAAAGGTCATCTAATTTGGTAGTTTCTTTTGAAGAAAGAACTGTTCTAACTTCTATTGTTCCTCTCTCAGAAAACCACTTTCATGTTTTAATTCACATGCTTTTAATTGGTATGTTTTGACTTTTAAATTTTTTTTTTTTTTTTTTTGGTACCGGGGATCAAACCTGGGTCCTTGCACTTGCGCAGCAGGTGGCGAAACCACTGAGCTAAATCCCCAGCCCTTGACTTTTAATTTTAAGAATTATTTGAACTCTTGGAGACCAAGTCATGTAGTATACTTCGATTATTTTTCCTTTTCTGCACAATTTATTTTTCCTGGAGTGAAGTCATTGTCTTTTTAAATTTTATGTTTTGGCTTATTGTATGTACTTATTCTCAAACTCTGTTTATTATGCAAATTAAATGAATTAGGTTACCATGGCAACTTTGATTCTATGATGTTTCTGTTATGTGTTTTTTCAGCCTGTATTTGGTGTTTTCACGTAGCGTGCTATATTTTTTTAGATTATTAGTACCTATTTTAACTATTTTGCTTAACTTTAATGTTCTTAAAAGCCTTTAAACTTCAAGTTAAAGTAACCAATTTTTAAAAATACATTTTTTTAAATTGACACATTTGTTGTATACAGCATGATGTTTTGAAATATGTATAGAAAATTGGGAGCTGGGAGGCTGAGGAGGATCATGAGTTGGAGCCCAGCCTGGGCAGTCTAGAACTTAGCCAGATCCTGGGTTCAATCCCTGGTAACACACCAAAAAAAGAAAAAAAGTAGCCAATCAATTTTTTTTTTTTTTTTGGAACCAGGGATTGAACTCGGGTCCTTGCGATTGCAGGGCGGGTGGTAGAACCACTGAGCTAAACCCTTGACCCTCAATTTTAATTATTTTTCAATTTAATGTTCATAGGACTTTACTAAATAGTACTATTTTCTGACAAGTTGTGGAGAGGCTGTTCCTGATGTTATCTTATTCTGTCTGGTTTTAGAGTGACAAAATGCTGAGCTTCCTACGTAGAACTCTGGGGCGCCGCTCCCTGCGTAAACACGCTGAGAAAGAACGACTCAGAGAGGCACAACGAGCTGCCACACACATTCCTGCATCTGGAGATTCTAAATCAATCATCACATGTCGGGTGTCCCTTCTGGATGGTACTGATGTTAGTGTGGACTTGCCGGTATGTAGATCTTGCCGAGCTGCAGATTCTGTATGAGATTACTACTGTCTTTTTTTCAGCTTTCTGTTGATGATAATTTCCTGGGGGAATTAGTGTGAATCAGGCACTGTAATATTCAGGGACATGGATCAGGTAACCTTAGGCCAAACGTACCTACAATAATAGTATATCTCTCTGGAGTTATTGCATTTACTTGAAACATTTGAATGAGAATGCAGGTGTTGGTATGAATTAAACTCATATGTGTTTGTGTGTTCTCAATGGTAGGAGTACATAGTATAATCTAGTGGGTCTCTCACAATCCTTGTTAAGCAATTTTTTTTTATTGGTATTGGGGATCGAACTGGAACCTTGCGCTTGCAAGATAGGCGGTGGAACCACTGAGCTAAATCCCTGGCCCTGTTAAGCAATTATTAAAGCAGTGAGAATCTTTGGGAACCATAATGATTAATGTATACTATAAGACTTTCGGTTCCTTATACTTCTCTGTGTTTTTCAGAATTCCTTTTATTTTCCCTTAAATTAAAATAGGTACTTCCTTTAGTTTGGTGTGTTTGAAGAAATTTTAATGAAATGAAGTGAGAAAGAGGATTTTCTTCATACTACTCAGATTTGATTGCTTGTCCCTTTGCTACCAAAGTAGCGCATTATAGGTTTTTTCATAACACTATCATCTTTATTTCAAAACAGGATATTTTAATTATTTTTCCATTGTGAATATGTTTTAGTTTTTTCAGTTACAAATGCATAATCATAATTCACAGTGTGTAACAATCCAATATGTTTGAAAGGGGATTAGTTTATTTCTTACAGGCCTTTTTAGAGGGAGGGAGAAGAAAGCATTTGAATTTCTTTCTGAATTATTTACTAGTACCAAATCTTTTATGTCTTTGTTCTGTACTCAGAGATTTCATATAAATTGTGAGATTTGACATGAGCTTCATTGGATGTTCCTTGATGCTGTTTCTCCCCACAAACTTTCTAGTACTAATACATTTATCTGAAATTCAATTTAACAAGTCTCTTTGTGCAGGATGAGAGCCTAGATCAGTGATGGCGAACCTTTTAGAGCTTTTAATGATAATAAGCAGCCAGCTGCAGCATGCCTGTCATAGGTTTGTCACCACTGGACTAGATATTGTTGAAATATGTAATTGAATAAGCTCTGGAAAGTCTTAGACCAGATATAAGAATTTAAGGAATTGGTTAGCTTGTTTAAAAGAATATTCTGAATATACTAGTTATATACATTATACATTTAAACATATTAGAATATAAAATTAAGGATTCATGATTTCTTGAAATGTTTTGAAGTTGTGTGTGTTTGTTATCTTTGCACATTGGACTGCACAGTTTTGGGGGTTTGATTCTGTAAAACATTAAGACATGTAAGTTTTTTCCATTTTAGGGCTTCTTGAGGGTTTATAAGACAGTCCAACGAGATACTTTGTGAAGTTTTCATATTTATTATTTGATAAGAATCTTGAGAGTTTTGTGTACTGTCATATTAAAATGTCATTAGCTGTGTAATAAAAAGCCTGGCATTGCTATATGAGAGCTTGGAAAATAGTTCTTTCTTAATGTTTAAAGTATGGAATGTGGTTAAAGAACTGGATATTAGATTTAAAAAAAATAAAGTATGGAGTCTTAGGAAGACTTAGGGTGGAGTCTTAGGGTTTAAAGTATGGATAGGCTGATACTAGGAGAATTTGCAAAGAAACGTTTTGAAAAGGCAGTGTTGTGTGGAGGAGAAATATCGTTAGGCTTTAAATTGGTGGAACAAATGTGTAGGTACTGGTGTACGATGGTTTCCTAAACTTGGTTTGTTTAGCAGAGTATATGTGATGGTTAATCAAGTCCAGAAGTGCTGGCTGGCCTGTTATGGGGAAAATTGCAGAGAAACAGCCAAAGTTTTAAATCTAACTCCTTGTGGAACAAGAACAATTGCCTTTTTAGCCCTGCAGATGAAATCTTAGTAACCTAACTCTAGGTACTTGGATGGATGTAAAATGGACATTGGCCCACCAGTTAAACTATTATTAATAGGAACCTATAGGCCAGAGGATTTTTTTTTTCTTTAAAAAATTTTTTTTTTCCTTTTCCATTTTAATTTTCACCCAGTTCAGTATGATATCCTGGGAGATTTAGAGATGATTTTGGAAATTGAATGAAGCACATATTCATTTCCTATGAGAATTAGGGTCACTAATGATTATAGCTAGCTAGCCTGAAACTAAGATGATTGCCTGGGTATTATATAAGGGATTATCTATGATTAGAGTAATTTAAACAATCTGTGGGCTTCAGATTAATAAAATTAATATATATCAGTAGTAATGGTCTCCCCCCCCTTCCCCCCTTTGGTGGTACTGGGGATTGAATCTAGAACTTCTCAAATTTAAAATTTTATTTTCAGATAAGAGTCTTAGCCGGGGATTTAACTCAGTGGTTCCACCACCTGCCTCACAAGCGCAAGATCCCAAGTTCGATCCCCAGTACCAAAAAAAAAAAAAAAAAAAAAAGAGTCTTAGTAAGTTGTCAAGGTTGGGCTCAAACTTGGAATTGTCCAGCCTCAATCTCCTAAATAGCTTGGATTACAGGAATATGCTACCACACCTGGCTAATAATGATCATTTCAACTCCTGTTCTCTTTTCCTCTCAAATTGGGGAAGGGACTTAAATACTTATTATTTTCTTCTCTTCCATTTCTTTTCCCTTCCCCCCCCTTCTTTCCCTTCTTTTAGCTAAATACAGTAACAATGCCTTTCCTGAATGACAAAGGCATCAGAGAGAAATTTCTAACTCTTTAATTTTTAAACTTTGTCTTTGAAAATGCTGTTGTAAACTCTTTGGATTAATTTGAGAGTTAAGTATTGCTTATTAAATAGCCTATTGTGTAAAATTCTACATCTTCTAAGTTTTAAATTAATACAAAATACTTTTATTAACCAATAGATCATAACTTTTATATACATACTTTACTACTAGAGATACTTAATACTTTAAATTTGTAGCCTATGTGTAGTTAAACTTACAAATGCAATATTTCCTCCCATTAACTATGTTTTCACTTTCTGCAGTTTTTACAGATGGTCACCATTATGCAAAAATATTAAATGGAATATTCCAGAAATAATTGGCAACTCTTATTACAGTACACTGATATAACTGTTATTGTTAATCTCTACCTAATTTTCAAGAACAACTGACATGGTATGCATATTAGCTTTCTTGTTGGTAGACACAATACCCAACACCCATGATTTAAAGGGGGAGAGATTTACTTTTGCTCACAGTTTTGTGGAATTCAGTCCATGGTTAGATGGCTTGAAGGTAGGAACATTATGGCAAAAGGGCATGGTGGAATAAAGCTGCTCAGTTCATTGTGTTTGGGAAGCAGAATAGCAGACTGTGCTAAAGAGGAATGAGTGAAGTATCATAAATAGTACTCAAAATCGTGCCTAACATCACATGGATGATGCCAAGGTCTGCTGTCAGTGGAAGGGGTAGTCAGGTACTCTTGGACCATGGCTGCAGTGCCCTCTGAGTGCCTGGATGACTGAGCATGGTGAAGTGAATCCTGGAGAATGAAATCCCTAGGTTGCTCTTCTGAAGCAGGGGTCCCAGGAACACTATTTTTTTTTTTTTTGGTACTGGGGATCGAACTCAGGTCCTTGCGCTTGTGGAACAGGTGGTGGAAACACTGAGCTAAATCCCCGGCCCATGGAACACTATTCTCAAGTGAAAGATTGACAACTTTTGTACCCTTGACTTGCAGTGGGTGGGGTCTTGCTGATTCCTGAGAAGCCCTCAAAGTATCTTTCTTTTTGTCCCTGTACAAAGTGCTTGCTTTCTTTTTAATGGCATTAAATCTTTTTAGCAGCCACACTTCTTTTGGCCCCAAATTTATGCATGGTTCTTTCTGGTCCACAATTTGTTCAAATTTTCCTGATCTGCTTTTGCCCCTCATACTCACTATAAATCTGACTAAAAGCAGCCAGTACCCATGCCACAGCCTGAATACTGGGCTGTCTTGAAATTTTCTTCTACCAGTCTCCTACAAAGCCATAGGGCATGGGCAAAAGGTAGACAGATTATCTGTCAATGTGACACATACACCCTCTAGTACAACTGCCAGTGGAGTCCTTCTACCCAACTGAAACTTTCTAAACCTGGCCTTTATTCTCTGCATTCCCATTAGTATTCTGATCTTCTGAGTTCTGACCAGAATCACCATCAGTCTCTGTTAACAGCATTCTAGGGCTTCTCTAGCTGGCATCTCCAAACCTTTCCAGACTCCTCCTGCAAACCAGTTCCAAAGTACATAAACCACAAATACAGTCACAGCAATGACCTTACGTCTCTGGTACAATTTTCCATCATAGCTTTTCCATCGTTGCACACAATACCTAACATTCACAACTTATAGGAGGGGAGGTTTAATTTGGCCCACAGTTTTAAGGAATTCAGTCCATGGTCAGCTGGCTCCAAGGCAAGAATGTCATGGCAGGAGGGTATGGTGGAGCAAAACTACTCAGTTCATGGTGGCTGGGAAGCAGAGCAAGGGAACGGTACCAGAGGAACAGGCAAGGGACCACATCTTACCTGAGGCCACACCTCCATGACCAATCCAGACACAACAGGACAGTGCTCTACTAATCTACTAGACATTTCTTAATCCATAAAAGGTGATGTATCAGGACTAATAGTCACAGATGGCCATAAAAGAAATGAAGTATTGACACCTGTTATAACATGAATGAATTTTGAAAACATTTGGAAGTGAAGAAATCAGGCATAAAATACCCATTTTTCTTTTTTGCCTGTTTACAAAATTTTACTTTTACTAGTACATGTTTGTAGTACATAATGATTACATTTATCATAGAGAGTTGGTACATGTACATAACACATCGTCTTTTTATGTCCCCTTCTCCCCTCCTTCCCATTTGATTCCATTCTTAAGAAAGTCCAAACTAGGTAAATCTGTAGGAATAAAAAGATTAGTGGTTACTTGGGGCAAATGCATAATACCTGACAGGAATAATATGGGACAATTGCTGTAGCATATGGGGTTTCTTGAGGTGATAAAATGTTCTAAAATTGAGTTTGGTGATGATTGTACGTATCCGCGGATATATTGTAGTCCATTAAATTATATAGTTTTATGGATGGATGTTTTGTGAATTATATTTTAATAGAGTTCTACTGAAAAGAGAATGCAGCAAGTATTTCTGTTTCCACTGATTTTTTAATAGTCAAAAAGCATGATAAAACTGACTTAACAGGTTTAATTTATAGGGGGGCATGTTTGATTTATTGCAGAAAAAAAATACAGGCCTCAGGAATGCTGCTGTATTCTTCTGGGGTGAGGTGGAATCTCAGTGTTGTTTTCATCTGCATCTCTCGAATAACCAGTGAGGTTGAACATTTTTTCATATATTTATTTGCTGCTTTTACTTCTTTGTCTGAGAAATATCTGTTCATTTCAAAAGACCAGTTTTGAATTGGGTCTTTGAATTTGGGGGTTCTGATTTTTTTCATTTCTTTATATATTCTGGATAGTAGTCCTTTGTCTAAGGTATAGTTGCTGAAAATTTTTTCCCACATTGTAGGTTGTCTGTTAGCTCTGTTGGTGGTTTCTCTTGCAATGCAGAAGCTTTTTAATAAGATAAGATCCCAGTTTTTGATTCTTTGTGCAAGTTCCCATGCCACTGAGGTTTTGTTCATAAAATCTTTACCTATACCAATATCTTCAAGAGTTCTACCTAACTTATCTTCCAGCAAATTTAGTGTTTCTGTCCTAATATTTAAATCTTTAATCCACTTTGATCTTAATTTGGTGCATGGTGATAGGCATGGGTCAAGTTTTAATTTTTGGCAGATTGAAATCCAGTTTTTCCAACACCATTTGATAAATAGGCTATCTTTCCTCCAATGAGGGTGGTTGGCTCCTCTGTCAAAGATGAAGTGGCTGAGCATATCTGCAGTTGTTTCTGCATCTTCTAATCTATTCCACTGATCCTCAGATCTGTTTCTTTGCCAATACCATGCTGTTTTTATCACAGTAGCTTTGTAGTATAGTTTCAAGTTGGGGATTGTAATACCCCCAGCCACGTCTCTGTTGCCTAGAAT